CCCGCATCCTCCACACCCCCGCATCCTCCACACCCCCACATCCTCAGCATCCCCACATCCCTGCATCCCCGCATCCCTGCATCTTCCGCATCCTCCACACCCCTGCATCCCCACATCCCTGCATCCCCGCATCCCTGCATCTTCCGCATCCTCCACACCCCCGCATCCCTGCATCCCCGCATCCCTGCATCTTCCGCATCCTCCACACCCCCGCATCCCTGCATCCCCGCATCCCTGCATCTTCCGCATCCTCCACACCCCCGCATCCCTGCATCCCCGCATCCCTGCATCTTCCGCATCCTCCACACCCCCGCATCCCTGCATCCCCGCATCCCTGCATCTTCCGCATCCTCCACACCCCCGCATCCCTGCATCCCCGCATCCCCGCATCCCTGCATCCCCGCATCCCCGCATCCCTGCATCCCCGCATCCCCGCATCCCTGCATCCCCGCATCCCCGCATCCCTGCATCCCCGCATCCCCGCATCCCTGCATCCCCGCATCCCCGCATCCCTGCATCCCCGCATCCCCGCATCCCTGCATCCCCGCATCCCCGCATCCCTGCATCCCCGCATCCCCGCATCCCTGCATCCCCGCATCCCCGCATCCTCGCATCCCCGCATCCTCGGGGTTTTCTCTCACTCCCGGGGACCTCACACTGAGTGCTCCACCCCAGGTCTCCTTGGGGATTTGTCCTTGACAACCTTACAGTCTGGGAATTGGGGCACTTCCTTTTTAAGAATGCAGGCTCTGCAGGAAAACGGCGGCGTCTTGTTCGGACCTGTGCCCTAAATGCTTGGCATAGTTCCTGTCCATGATTGCTGGTAAATAGTCACCAAATGGATAACTGTTTCTTCTCCTGTGTTGCAGGTCACCTAGACCCCACTCCACTCGGCGGGAGAGCGGGAGACTGTCCCGGGCAGGGCAGGCGGACAGGAGGAGGGACATGGATGGATGTTGAAGCGCGGGGCGGACAGCATCTGAGAGCGCCGGGGACGGCGGCACCGC